CCTTCCTTCCTTCCTCCATCCTTCCCTCCCTCCCTCCCTCCTTCCCTTCCTTCCTTCCTTCCTTCCTTCCTTCCTTCCTTCCTTCCTTCCTTCCTTCTTTCCTTTGGTCCTTGATTGGTGTCTGGGTCTTTTACAGGAATTGAACTTTCTAAAGATATCAGACTAATAGATCAATGCAGCTCCTCACAAAACTCTGATCAGAAATCAGACTGTCTTGGAGTCGAGGTCACAGTTTCTCTAGAACCACAAAGAGAACAGAAAGAAAGGTCAGAAAGTAAGGACTCTCTAGAGGATTAGGTCAGAGAAGCATTGACACTTACACAAAATAGTCTTTTAATGAGGATGGATGTGGGGATACTAAGCAGTGAATCAGGCCATAACTCAGCAAAGAATCCCATAGAGAGGAAAGGGCATAGACACTCTGAGGGAGTGGAGGTTATGCTGTTGACCTTAATCAAGGAGGATGGGTATGCCTCTACCCACACACCTAAGCTAAGTGATAAATACACCAGTTCAGTATTGATTGTTTTCCTCTTTTCCTGTCTAGCCTCCCTTTTAACCTGCTGGTACCTGCCTACCACTGCAGAAATAACCGCTGAATTAGTGCCACCTCAAGTGATTGAAGGAGAAAATGTTCTCATACGTATTGACAATCTACCAGAGAATCTTGTAACTTTAGTCTGGTTAAGAGGAGCGGGGATTAAGAGCCCTCGAATTGGACAATATACACTGCCCACTAATGCTACTGTGCTGGGGCATGGTCACAGTGGAAGAGAGACTTTGTACAGCAATGGATCCCTGCAGATCTACAATGTCACCCAGGAGGATATAGGGTTCTACAGCCTACAAATCATAAATAGATATGCAGACATTGTATCAATAATATCCATATATCTCAATGTGTACTGTAAGTAATTCTTTGTAATGTCTGGGTGATGGGTGGCATTTGTTTCACTAGACACACAGAGGACTATCAGGCTTGCCTGTGCATATTTCCTTCTCCATTGTATCTTTATGTTGGTGTTTGAACATTTATTGCAGGACACAGATGGTATAGAATAAGGACAATAGATTAGAATCCTTCATTTGACTTCATCTTGTAGACAGGTAGACACATTGTAGTTAAATCAGCCATGGACATCATCATCTCTTCAGGAATGTATAGTTGAGAAAGACTCTTAATCCAAAAATGTTGGGTCTTTTTGTGAAATTCCTAGGGTTCTCACCAGGAATATGTCTTTGAGGAAGACTACAAGAGACAAGAACTTAACCTAGTTGAGATAGTGAAGGGGGCCTCTGAAAAAGCTGAGCATCAGGGAAAAATCCCCTACACTGCCAGGGGATGATGTTCAATTCTCTCCTTTATGTAGTTTCTTTAGTAAAGATATGACAGTCAAGAGACATCACCTAGGCAAATGTCTAAAGCATCCACAAAAGCCCAGGGAGCACATGGGCAGACCCATCATCACACAGCTCATGAAGCAGAGGAAACGGGAGCATCATCTTGAAAGTCTTCATGGGACAGTTGACACTACCCCCATTTTCCAGGAATCATATTTCCTACACCCATAAACCTAAGGTGTGAAACTCCACAAATCTGGTCCTGACCCTTGTCTTGGGTAAGAATTTTCCATTGAGAATAGTTGTGTACCTTTCTTCATGCACCACTAAGCCTGTCCCTTTGGGACCTTCCTAGGAATCTCTGTCCCCTTTCAGCCAAAAGAAATTCCATCTTTATAGAACACTTAGATCACAGGGTAAACTCTCTGTGCAGTTAAGTTTGTGATTTACACAGAAAGCACAGAGACTTTCTTTGATGCTGACAGACCAAATCCAGGTCACAGCAGAAGTCAGTCCTGAGATAATCTGATGTCTTATCAGGGCACAAGAATACTTATAAGCCTTTTTGATTACAGTTTTGTGTTGGTAACTAAAATATAAAGAGAGAAATGGGAGAGGGACACAGGGCAGTACTGAGAGTGGAAGGGGCAGAGTAGTGTTTTGAACACAGACCTATCCACAGCTCATGGGACTCATGAGATGCTGCTGCCTGACAGGAGGCTCAGCTCAGAAGGTGAAAGGACAACAGATCTTGAGAACTGTTATGTAGCACAAGTTTCACAGTGAAAAGATTGGTCAGGTCACAGAGACCAGGGAGACACCCTTCTATGCCATTTCAAGGGGTGTTCTCTCTCTCTCTCTCTCTCTCTCTCTCTTTCTAGTTTAAGTAAAATCTCAATCCAGAAACTAGATGCTGGGATAAAAGTCTGCTAGCTCAGAGAGGCAGAGAATGTTTCCAGCTTACCTTCCTCCTCTGTCAATATCCCAGAAGGAAGTTCACCTTCTACATATCATCTCAGAAACCCCTCAAACTGAATATCCCTCACTTCTACTCTTGTGCATCTCTCTATCCATTCAGACCCCCTCTTACCCTCTGTTTTTTTCCTATGTTCAGTCCCTGTGAATTGTTCGCTTGCTCTGCCTCTTGGCCTATGGTTGACTTTCTTTAATCCTGTCTACAGTAAACAGAAAGCTCTTGGATTAAAAGTGTGTGCTGTGGCTGATTCAGATCACAACTACAAACAGTGTTTTTTTCCCAGTAAATAACACAATCTCAGGGCTCATAGTGTGATCAAATATTCTGCAACATTTCCCTCTTTTGTCTAACTAAAAAGAAAATATTTTAATTCTAACACAGTAAAATTATTTACTGTTGTGGTCTGGGAATTGTTACACAAACCATACGTACACCAATCTCTGTTAAGCAAGAATAGCTTACTGAATGCACGACATAATACTAGGTGTTCAGGACCACAAGAAGGAAAATCCTAATTGTGGCATCAGTCTCTCCCTCAGGGCAGGCTTGTATATGAAAAACCAGGCTCAAAGTTTGAAGGCAAGCAGTGAAGTGGAATAACATTTTTGGCTAACTAGACAAAATAGTATCAGCTAACCTTTAAACTGATTGGTCCTGAGTGAGGTAAGAAGAGTGGAGGACAGGTGGTGAAAAGGAGAATTTCAGGGTACAAGTGATTCAACCATAATTTTTTTGGCTTATTAGTAGCATCTTTTAGTGTCAGCTATGGATAATTACTTTGGGAACTAGAGTCTGAGAATTTGAACTTAATTTTACATTATAAGCATAATGGAGACTGGATACAAAATGGCTAATGTTATGTTAAAAGGCCTCAACATTTACAGTAATGAAGCATTTTTTCCAAAGCTTTTCATGATGTCTAGTTTGGTTGTATTTGATAGTCTTAGGATGAAGTATTTTTGAGTCCAAAGTTCTGTAAAATTTTCCTGTCAGTCTCCTATGAACTTGGCAATTTGAATGTGCTGAGCTATATGTAGTCCAAAGCTGATCTTTGGCTGGTTGTCAGCTTAGTGGCACTCCTACCTAGGGAGAACACAGCAGTCAACCCAAAGGTGCCCCTTGTTTGTGAAGAACTTGCTGACAGAAGAGGCATGGGGCAGTTTTGTCTAGTGGCTAGTGTTACCACAATCTAGGTGGATTGATCAGTGAAGGGCCCCATGATCTTCTCCCAGACCTCAAAAGTTACTGTTAGGAATGGTAGAAAACTTTAATATTTTAAATGGTATATTCAGCAGATCTCAGAAAGTTTTGAGGACAACAATCTATTAAGTATACCCAAGGTACTTTATTCCTAGATATCTGGTTTAGATTCAAACCTGAAAACATATACAGGTTATTTATTTTGAAAATTAGTTAGTGCTCTGTATGACTACTAGTACCATGACAGAAACCATATACAAGTATATAATCTTAAAGATTTTGATATAATATTTATATATTAAGAAAAGTTTAGAGAGTCAAATGAAAACCAAAAGATAATGAGATTAGTGGAAATAAAAGTATCCTATTTTTTGCTTTTTTGTGTACATAGCAGGTGGCACTTCTGATATGAGACAGTGATCTTGGATTTTCCTTTAACAAGGACTCATGGATTTATAGACAGAGAGAGCCATGCTAACCTTCTTTAGTTGTGAGGATTGTATCTTAAGTATTCTATACTTTGATGGCCAATATCCACTTGTTAGTGGGTACATAGTGTGCATGTCCTTTTGGGTCTGAGTTACCTCACTCAGGATATTTTCCAGTTCCGTCCATTTGCCTGTAAAATTAATGATTTCTTTGTTCTTAATAGCTAAGTAGTATTCCATTGTGTAAACAAACCACATTTTCTGTATCCATTTTTTCATTGTGGAACATCTGGAGTGTTTCCAGGTTCTAGTTGTAACAGATAAGGCTGCTTTGAACATAGTGGAACATGGTGGGGACTCTTTTGGGTATATGCCCAAGAGTGGTATAGCTGAATCTTCAGGTAGATCTATTTCCAATTTTCTGACGTACCTTCAGATTTATTTCCAGAGTGGTTATACCAGTTTGGAATTCCACAAATAATGAAGGAATGTTCCTTTTTCTCCACATTCTCACCAAAATGTGCTGTCACCTGAGTTTTCGATATTAGCTATTCTGATTGGTGTAACGTGGAATCTTAGGGTTGTTTTGATTTGCATTTCCCTAATGAGTAAGGCTTAGAACATTTATTTAGGTGCTTCTCAGCCACTTGAGATTTCCTCTGTCATGAATTCTCAGTTGAGCTCTATACTTCATTTTTTCATTGGTTTGTTTGTTTTTTGTGGAGTTTAGCTTCTTGAGTTCTTTATATATTTTGGATATTAGCTCTCTATTGGATGTGGGGTTAGTAAAGCTTTTTTTCTCAATCTGTAGGTTGCTGATTTGTCCTATTGTCTATTTCCTTTGCCATACAGAAGCTTTTCAGTTTCAAGAGGTCCCATTTATCAATTTTTGATCTTAGAGCCTGAGTCATTTGTGTTCTGTTTAAGAAATACTCCACCCCTCACCCCTGTGCCAATGAATTCAAGACTCTTTCCCACTTTCTTTTCCATTTGATTCAGTGCATCTGGTTTTATCTTGAGGTCCTCGATCCACTTGTACTTGAGCTTTGTGCTAGGTGACAAAAATGAATCTATTTTTATTTTTCTATATATTGATTGCTAGTTATACCAGCAGCATTTATTGAAGATGCTTTCTTTTTTCCACTGTATATTTTTGGCTTCTTTGTTAAAGATCAAGTGTCTATAAGTGTGTGGGTTTATTTTAGTGTCTCCAATTCTATGGCATTGAACAACCTGTCTGGCTCTTTTCCAATCCCATGCAGGTTTTTATTACCATTACTCTGTAGTAGAGCTTGAGGTGAAGACTGGTGATTCTCCCAGTTCTTTTATGGTTAAGGATTGTTTTTGCTATCATGTTTTTTTTTCTTTTTCCATATGAAATTGAAAATTGCTCTTTCCATGTCTGTGAAGAATTGGGTTGAAATTTTGATGGGGATTGCATTGAATCTGTAGACTGCTTTTGGTAGGATAGCCATTTTTACTATGTTAATCCTACCAATCCATGAGCATGGAAGATCTCTCCATTTTCTGAGGTCTTCTTCAATTTCTTTCTTGAGAGACTTGAAGTTCTTATCATATAGATCTTTCGCTTGATTGGTTAGAATTACCCCCAAGATATTTTCTATTATTTGTGACAGTAGTGGAGTATGTTGTTTCACTATTTCTTTCTCTGCCCAATTATCATTTGTATAAAGGAAGGCTTCTGATTTGTTTGCATTGATTTTATATCCAGCCACTTTGCTGAAGATGTTTATCAACTGTAGAATATCTCTGGTAGAATTTTTGGAGTCATTTATGTATACTATCATATCATTTGCAAATGGTAATACCTTGACTTCTTTTTGCCAATTTGCATCCCCTTGACCACTTTTTTTGTTGTCTTATTGCTCTAACTAGAACATTGAGTACTATATTGAGTAGATACATGGAGAATGGGCAGCCCTGATTTTAGTAGGATTGCTT